CCAGGTTGATGAGGACTTTCTCAGCCTTGATGTCGCGGTGCAGGAGCCGCAGCTGGTGCAGCGCCGCATGGCCTCCAGCACCTGGCGGAACAGCCCCGCGCCACGGGCTCCGTCAGGAACCCCCGCTCGGCCAGCGAGTACCAGAGGTCCTGACAGCGCTGCGGACGCTCCGTGGCCAGCGCGGAGCCGTCGGGCAGCTCGAACCAGTCCAGGACCCGCACGACGCCGCGGGAGCCAGGGCACGACGTCATCCACAGCAGCGCTGGCTCCAGGGGCACAAGGGCGCCGCTGCGCTGCGGGGAGACCGCGATGCCTCAGCGGGGCCGATGCTGCGCCACGCCTCGGGCACCCCTGCCCGGCTCCAGCCCACTCCCATTGCCTGGCCCGGGACGCTGTGGGCTCCGCTCGCTCCCCGCTCTCTCCCCTCGCAGCTCCGGCTGCCGCCCTGCCGGGCCTCGCCTCAGCCCCGCCCGGCACCCCCGCGGCTTCTCCCGCTGGCCCTGCTCACTCAGCAGCCGCGCCCGCTCCAAGATGCGGTCCCGGCACACTCGCTCATGGCCACCTGCAAGCCAAGGCCAGTGCCAGGCTGAGCTCGCCGCCCGCCGCCCGCCGCCCCCTCCAAGCGGGTCCCATCTCTTCCCGGGGCGCCGCCGGCGAGCTGGGTCCCGCAGTGAACGCTGCTGCAGCCGCCGCTGCCCAGCAGAGCCCTCCCCTCTGCGGGAGGGTCCCACGCATCCCTGGCCCAGCGCCGGGGCTCTGCCGGCAGCCAGCACCGGGACCCCAAAATTCTGCTGTCCCGGGGCCACCGAGCGGGCACCCGGCCCTTGACCCTGTCATAGATACATATTATAATATTGGCTTTTTGCAAATATTCCATTGGATTTTATATGTGTGGTGTTACAATAACTTTGTTATATAGTTTTTATTTCTGTTGTTCATTGATAAAGCTCAGACACAGTAGTGCCATAGCTGATAGAAGCATGCTTGTGTTAAAATGCCTGCTTGGATGGGATAACATCCAGTGAGCACAGGATGAGGACACCTGTACAGATCTGCCAACCATCAGCACTCACCGTCTGAAGGCAGTGTGGGCCGGGGCCAAAACTGAAGATGATGATAAAAAAGGACCAAAACCACAACCAAGGAATACACATGCCCTAAAAAGGTGGAACCGAGGAGGAGCCATGCTAAACAGTTCTTGGAATATGCAAACTAACTTGGGAAAAAGTTTACTATGCATAAGGGACTATGAATATGCAACCGGCTGGTGTAAGGGAAAAGGTATTCAAGGAGTATCTCCGGAGATAACTGTGTGCTCTTGGCTCAGTGCCGAGATGCACCTGGCCCTAACAACCTTTGCTCTATGGCCCTTGTCTCCTCTTGTCCTGTATTAAACTTTTTAAATGTTCCCAGGG